CTGTTATATGAGTTGATTTCTGTTATTCTGGTAGGTTAATTTATATAACTGTTATATGAGTTGATTTCTGTTATTCTGGTAGGTTAATTTATATAACTGTTATATGAGTTGATTTCTGTTATTCTGGTAGGTTAATTTATATAACTGTTATATGAGTTGATTTCTGTTATTCTGGTAGGTTAATTTATATAACTGTTATATGAGTTGATTTCTGTTATTCTGGTAGGTTAATTTATATAACTGTTATATGAGTTGATTTCTGTTATTCTGGTAGGTTAATTTATATAACTGTTATATGAGTTGATTTCTGTTATTCTGGTAGGTTAATTTATATAACTGTTATATGAGTTGATTTCTGTTATTCTGGTAGGTTAATTTATATAACTGTTATATGAGTTGATTTCTGTTATTCTGGTAGGTTAATTTATATAACTGTTATATGAGTTGATTTCTGTTATTCTGGTAGGTTAATTTATATAACTGTTATATGAGTTGATTTCTGTTATTCTGGTAGGTTAATTTATATAACTGTTATATGAGTTGATTTCTGTTATTCTGGTAGGTTAATTTATATAACTGTTATATGAGTTGATTTCTGTTATTCTGGTAGGTTAATTTATATAACTGTTATATGAGTTGATTTCTGTTATTCTGGTAGGTTAATTTATATAACTGTTATATGAGTTGATTTCTGTTATTCTGGTAGGTTAATTTATATAACTGTTATATGAGTTGATTTCTGTTATTCTGGTAGGTTAATTTATATAACTGTTATATGAGTTGATTTCTGTTATTCTGGTAGGTTAATTTATATAACTGTTATATGAGTTGATTTCTGTTATTCTGGTAGGTTAATTTATATAACTGTTATATGAGTTGATTTCTGTTATTCTGGTAGGTTAATTTATATAACTGTTATATGAGTTGATTTCTGTTATTCTGGTAGGTTAATTTATATAACTGTTATATGAGTTGATTTCTGTTATTCTGGTAGGTTAATTTATATAACTGTTTAATGAGTTGATTTCTGTTATTCTGGTAGGTTAATTTATATAACTGTTTAATGAGTTGATTTCTGTTATTCTGGTAAGTTAATTTATATAACTGTTATATGAGTTGATTTCTGTTACTCTGGTAGGTTAATTTATATAACTGTTTAATGAGTTGATTTCTGTTATTCTGGTAGGTTAATTTATATAACTGTTTAATGAGTTGATTTCTGTTATTCTGGTAAGTTAATTTATATAACTGTTATATGAGTTGATTTCTGTTACTCTGGTAGGTTAATTTATATAACTGTTTAATGAGTTGATTTCTGTTATTCTGGTAGGTTAATTTATATAACTGTTTAATGAGTTGATTTCTGTTACTCGGGTAAGTTAATTTATATAACTGTTATATGAGTTGATTTCTGTTACTCTGGTAGGTTAATTTATATAACTGTTTAATGAGTTGATTTCTGTTATTCTGGTAGGTTAATTTATATAACTGTTTAATGAGTTGATTTCTGTTACTCGGGTAAGTTAATTTATATAACTGTTATATGAGTTGATTTCTGTTACTCTGGTAGGTTAATTTATATAACTGTTTAATGAGTTGATTTCTGTTATTCTGGTAGGTTAATTTATATAACTGTTTAATGAGTTGATTTCTGTTATTCTGGTAGGTTAATTTATATAACTGTTATATGAGTTGATATCTGTTACTCTGGTAGGTTAATTTATATAACTGTTATATGAGTTGATTTCTGTTACTCCGGTAGGTTAATTTACATTAAATGTCCATATAAAGCAGATAGCTTTTACTTTATTCGGCTTTCAGCGTCAACAACACCTTTAATTATGTGATTTCCTACTTCGGATGTCTAGTGATTATTTAACACTGGCTAAAAGGCATAGAGTATTGAAGATTGCAATCTACTGTATATATCTCGAAAATATGGATCTCCCATTTATCAGATAATCTATAGAACGTGATAGTTCTAATTTAAGGACTCATTATTATAACAATAATATAAGCATGATAACAAAGCCTCATAACATACGGAAAATAATAGCGGCGTTCAATAACATTTAGAAGGTACGAACCGTTTCAGGAATGTCGAACTCAACACATCCACACTCAGTTTGACTGGGAGAGTAAGGGGTGGTGTCATATGTTAATAGTGTATTGACATATAATATACTAGAATAACAAAAAACAATTGATTTGAAACGGATTGCTTTATTTTCGGTAATGCAAGTGACAGGTGGGCTGTACTTAGCCCCATTGATTGCACAATATTAATCTCACAAGCATATCACTTAGCGAACCATGATATCTGCCAATCTCCATTACTGAGACCAACACCGATACACTGGACCACCACTGAGAGACAGGTTATTGACAGATCCTGTAACAAAAGTTCACCTGGAGACTGGGCATTCACGAGTATCCAAACAGCAGCCGGGATAGCGCAATAGACACGTGTAACTGTAAATCGACCGGAGAGCCTGCGCCATGGTAACATCACATTCGGGTGATAAGCCGGTATGCGGAGAGCCTGCGCCATGATGGTGACAAGCCGGGTATGCACAACATTCCGTAAGGAACTGGTGCAGATTAAGATCGATATAAAAGAAGTGGGATTACATAAGGATACGACACTCTGTGTGGGAAACTCTGATACCTGTGTACATATCACTGCAAATGTTCTTGAGTGCAAATATCAATCAATATGTTCCGTTCAGTTTGTTACATCACATGCAGTTTTGATCTGAAATTGGCATCCAGTCGTCAAATGTTGATGAACACAACACTTGGTGCTGTAAAAGGAAACGTAGGCAGGTCCATTGTTTACAGAAAGAATGTAAACTCAGAAAACTCATAGATTATTTATAGTTTTGATCATAAATACTTTCATGACAAAATAAGACAAAATGTATACCGTTTTATAATGACGTTGGGAAAATGTACAACGTTTTTATCATATAAATGTGGACTTATAAAACATGTAAAGCCATATATGATGCGTGTATAAGGCCAATTTATGTTACTCTAAAGTTTGAGATTGTAATACACCTACCCAGTTCCCTTGAGCTATATAATGTAAAGGAATTTTGTCGGCTGTTGATCACATCTATACCAATACTAATATGACAATGAAGACGAGGTATCAGTCTGCATTAAATAACGTGTACGGTTGTCACCATGACCTGCTCTATGGTACAGGGAACATTTATCATTTCGAATCACCTAGTTTCATTTCCGTTTAGGGTGTTAACAATGAGTATTTTCTTTGTTTCGTTGCCGCTTCGGTGCTTTGGTCTTTTTGTTTGTTTTAAGTATCCCTTGATACCTGTTGGTATTTTATTTAGTGTGTCTTCGGCACCAGTTGTTGTTTGTTCCATGTATTATAGCTCTAAAGCATTTTATCTGTGTGTGAATTCATCATTTCGATTGTAGTACCTTTGACAACCTATTGTTCCTTCTATTTACCATACCTTCATGCAATATATCTTTCTCCATTTCATTCCTAATCGGCGACTTCAGTTTGCTTAATGAAACCAGCACTACGTCACTCGTAACAAGATTGACTATAATCGATATTGGAATAAACTGAAACGTATGAGGTTTCACTTAATCTGCGTTTACCAAATCAGCTCATGTGAACATGCATATATTGACAAATCATAGAATATGCATTTTTATCTAGTAACCTTATTACCAACATGACGATGTACATAATGCATTAAAGTTTGAAGAGTAAAAACGCGAATACTTTCACACGCAAAATATATATTAATGCATTAAATTATGTCATAATGTTGCAACGCATTACGGAGTACTGCGACAAGCTACAATATTCCTGTATAAATATTAGTCTATAGTGAAAACAATACAGAATACCAGTGTACCACCCTACAGTTTACGAGTGTAAACACTAAAGTTTACCAGTGTAAAACCCTTCAGTTTACGAATGTAAACACTAAAGTTTACCAGTGTTAACTCTACAGGTTACCAGTGTAAACACTAAAGTTTACCAGTGTTAACCCTACAGGTTACCAGTGTAAACACTAACGTTTACCAGTGTAATTCAACCTACGCATGTATTTAGACTATACTGGTTTCACTTCAACATTATGGACCTAATCTCTGTTTAAAAACATCGTGCTTTACTAAAAGCGATGAAAGGCTCACAGACGAATTAAATATTTTTTTAATCCCTTTTGGGTTTATAGAGCTTTCCCCAATTTAATTGAAATGAATCCGATGACTGCTATAATCCCTCCATTTAGTTATTATTCCAGTCGCGGTTAAATGGTGTGTACCTTTATAAACATCATTCTATTGAACTTTAATTCCTCGGTGTATTTATACATATCAAAGTGTATGTACGATTTCTATATATGTAAATGTACGAGGAAATTAAAATGGAATAACGTATGATATGTTGTCCTCTAAGTCACAAGGATATTGATGTGAAATGTGATTTTAACTTTAGGTAGATTGAATTGTGCCTATGTCGGGTACTGGTTTCTAGTGTCCTGTGTTAATTAGGTTTCACACAAGTCCACACTCGTACAAGAGACACTTATTTAAGAGATAGAGAGAAACGGGGATTAACGTTAACCCAGGTTTGATGTCCCGTATGAATTGGCAGCAGTACCTCGTGTTGTGAAATGGTCATTCCTGCGAATGAAGCATTCACGAAGTGATATATGCCAAAAGTTTCCTTCCACAGAGTTATGATTTATATCCGTCTTACCCTATCCATGATACATGTAAACCAGACAACTGTTATATAGTATGTTCATAATTATGTAATCCACCTGTTATTCATGCTTTAAAAATACAAAACAAATATAATTGTGTTGTAAGGGCACTGTCTGTGTTGCAAGTAAGCTTGATTACCATCCATACAGTTTTAGAATTTAATTTTTGAGAATCACACGCACTGGTCACGTGAACATGTCGGTGTTGTCAAATTGCCTCACGGTGTGTCTCTTGTGCAGCTAACATCACGTGCATTCACGCGTGCGTGGAATATGTCGTCATCTGCAGTTACACGATCTCCTCCTGACGCACAAACTCGTCGAATTTCTTTTGAAGAGAAGAGCAGTCACCTAACCTTATAACCACTCACATTATATCATGGTCCACGATACTATCAACTGATTAAGGTAAGCACTTCAACCCTTATTAAATATCACTCTAAATTCTGAAATTGCATTGTTGTTCTATTCACATTCATTGAGTTCTCCCCTTGAAGATGAATGTGGTACATTATCCTAAGTTTTAGGCTTTGGCAAAAACCACGCAGGTTATTGTACTTTCCTAGAGATGAACGTTTTAAGTTGTGTGTAATGGTGTAACTGTACCAAGCTATCCCCTAACAAATTGTTCATGTACATTATGGTCCTGTTCTTGACATTAATGTTTGGTAAAATCTAAAGTTAACACCTTTTGATAATGTGCATGCTTGTTTTATCCTAGAGATGAACATTTTTGTTGGGTGAAAAAGTGAAGCTTAAGATAGTTCTCTTCTGACAAAAGCTATTAGTGTTCTATCCAAGAGATGCACTTGTTATGCTGGGTGTAAGGGTGTAACGATAGACAGTACTCCAAGACAAATGGCTTATAACATATTTCTGACTATTATCTCCACCGTTTTGGCTTCATATCGGTATTTCCATTACAGATGGAGCGTGCACGTTCCCAGACGAGATCACTGGGGTCTGGTACAGTGCTGACAAGGGAGCCCTCTCCTTCAACTCCACCATCATCGACAACTACCCCATCTTCATGTCGTATAGCGTTAGCTCACTCGACTTCGCCTGTGAGGAAAACCAGGGATATAAATATTTACTCAAGTAAGTACAACCTACGTTATTGATTATGGTGGTAGCAAAAATGTTTCGATTAGAATATTTGTGTGATCAGACAGTATATTTGAAACATGGTAATGTTTACAGCAATGTTTAAAGAGCGATCGAATCATATCATCGTTTGAAGTTTCAGACATTTTTTGTTGTTAACTAAATGTTGCAATTAAAGTTCTCAGTTCAGTAAAACGAAGAGGTCCATTGTGCCTGTATAGCTCATCTGTTTCTATTGCTATCTGACCTGGACAAGAGGTTGAAATGGTATTGACCCTAAAACTAAAATAACTCTTGTAAAGGGAGAGGATTAGGTTGAAATTGGTCAGATGAATTTTACAATTAGTCAAAGTACGTCAGAGGACAGGGTTGCAAATTTGGGTCTCGAATCCCTCAACTCACGAATGAAATTCAATATAAATAAAAATAAGAGGACCTGTTTGCAACCATGAGAGTATTATTCAGATGTAGGGCGGTTACCATTTGCCTGGTGATAGTTGAAAAGAAAATGAATATGTCCTATCCATTTACAACGTTAACACATGTGCGGCCTGAGTTGATTCGAAACATGATCAGTTTTATGGGAGAATCATTTGTATTCACCTGATAAAAAACTGAGAATTATTTTTCCTTCTATCAGGGGTCAATGCGGACATATTGGATATCAAATCAGCCAAAAATAGCATTTAGTCGTGAGATGATTTTTGCACCTTCTTTGTTGGAGAGTTTGTTATTATGTTTTTTAAGGCCTGCCCAATAGCCATGGCTCGTTAGGCCAATTGATATTATATAATCATTATTCTTAATACATAAAGTATTTACTGTGTTATGATTTTATATTGACTTTAATTCATTAAGCACTTCTTGACTTGACATTATAAGCACAGGGGTATGGAAGTTCTTATTATGTCATATTAAATACAGTGTAACTCATATATCGTAACAACAATTTTAAATATTCGTACGTTTATAACAATATATTATGAAAGTTGCAACTCGTTCAGATAATTTGGTATTCAATTTTGCCCGTAAATCATTCAGAACTTATTGTTATGACAATGTTATGCATTGTAGGTTACTTGCTTCCTATGGTAATGAAAATGTATATATACACTGTAATTCATACTAGTATCTGTAGTGGGTAGTTGTGATCCAAGCGAGATATTGTTTAGGATGCATTGGTAGCAATAACATAAATATATAAGTGTTTCGATACGGGTGACTCTCCATTCACCCACGACAAGGGTGTCACAGTCACCTGTTCTCGTATTGTAACGGAATAACTTTTGGTGCCTAGCAACTTACATTTTGTATACGTGTTTAAAAACATATATCTTTACCTAAGCATGAGATGTTGAAATTCATATTGTTTTACTTCTTTTTTTGTCCGCAGGTCCACAACCACGACCCTTGTGTTTGGCAGTTATATATATGGCTATCTGTGTATAGATCTGAGACGGGTGTCACAATACAAGTATTACTACTACATAGGTACAAGTAAGGATTGTAGAGCTGAGACGGGTGTCACAATACAAGTATTACTCCTACATAGGTACATGTAAGTATTGTAGAAGTGAGACGGGTGTCACAATACACGTATTACTACTACATAGGTACAAGTAAGTATTGTAGAGGTGAGACGGGTGTCACAATACACGTATTACTACCACATAAGTACAAGTAAGTATTGTAGAGCTGAGACGGGTGTCACAATACAAGTATTACTACTACATAGGTACATGTAAGTATTGTAGAAGTGAGACGGGTGTCACAATACACGTATTACTACTACATAGGTTCAAGTAAGTATTGTAGATGTGAAACGGGTGTCACAATATACGTATTACTAATACATAGGTACAAGTAATTATTGTGGAGGTGAGACGGGTGTCAATATACAAGTATTACTACATAGGCACAAGTAAGTCTTGTAGAGGTGAGACGGGAGTCACAATACACGTATTTCGACTACATAGGTACAAGTAGGTATTGTAGAGGTGAGACGGGGGTCACAATACACGTATTGCTACTACATAGGTGCGAGTAAGTATTGTAGAGCTGAGATGGGGGTCACAATAACATAATGACTACTACATAGGTACAATTAAGTATTGTAGAGCTGAGATGGGTGTCACAATACAAGTATTACTCCTACATAAGTACAAGTAAGTATTGTGGAGCTGAGACGGGTGTCACGATATACGTATTACTACTACAGAGGTACAAGTAAGTATTGTACTTATGTGGTAGTAAGTATTGTAGAGCTGAGTCGGGTGGCACAATACAAGTATTACTCCTACATAAGTACAAGTAAGTATTGTGGAGCTGAGACGGGTGTCAAAAAACACGAATTACTACTACATAGGTGCAAGTAAGTATTGTAGAAGTGACACGGGTGTCACAATACACGGATTACTACTACATAGGTGCAAGTAATTATTGTAGAGGTGAGACGGGCGTCACAATACACGTATTGCTACTACATAGGTACAAGAAAGTATTGTAGAGCTGAGTCGGGTGGCACAATACAAGTATTACTACTGCATAGGTACAAGTAAGTCTTGTAGAGGTGAGACGGGAGTCACAATACACGTATTGCTACTACATAGGTGCGAGTAAGTATTGTAGAGCTGAGTCGGGTGGCACAATACAAGTATTACAACTACATAGGTACAAGTAATTATTGTGGAGGTGAGACGGGTGTCAAAAAACACGAATTACTACTACATAGGTGCAAGTAAGTATTGTAGAGCTGAGAGGGGTGTCACAATACAAGTATCACTACTACATAGGTACAAATAAGAATTGTAGAGGTGAGACGGGGGTCACAATACACGCATTACTACTACATAGGTAAAAGTAAGTATTGTAGAGGTAACACGGGTGTCACAATACATGTATTACTACTACATAGGCACAAGTAAGTCTTGTAGAGGTGAGACGGGGGTCACAATACAAGTATTCCTACTACATAGGTACAATTAAGTAGTGTAGAGCTGAGACTGGTGTCACAATACAAGTATTAATACTACATAGGTACAAGAAAGTATTGTAGAGGTGAAACGGGTGTCACAATATACGTATTACTAATACATAGGTACAAGTAAGTCTTGTAGAGGTGAGACGGGAGTCACAATACACGTATTTCGACTACATAGGTACAAGTAGGTATTGTAGAGCTGAGATGGGGGTCACAATAACATAATGACTACTACATAGGTACAGGTAAGTATTGTAGAGGTAACACGGGTGTCACAATACATGTATTACTACTACAAAGGTACAAGTAAGTCTTGTAGAGGTGAGACGGGGGTCACAATACACGCATTACTACTACATAGGTGCAAGTAAGTATTGTAGACCTGAGCCGGGTGTCACAATACACGTACTACTACTACATAGGTGCAAGTAAGTATTGTAGACCTGAGACGGGTGTCACTATACAAGTATTACTACATAGGTACAAGCAAGTATTGTAGAGCTGAGTCGGGTGGCACAATACAAGTATTACTACTTCAAAGGTACAAGTAAGTATTGTAGAAGTGAGACGGGGGTCACAATACACGCATTACTACTACATAGGTTCAAGTAAGTATTGTAGAAGTGACACGGGTGTCACAATACATGTATTACTACTACAAAGGTACAAGTAAGTCTTGTAGAGGTGAGACGGGAGTCACAATACACGTATTTCGACTACATAGGTACAAGTAAGTAGTGTAGAGCTGAGACGGGTGTCACAATATACGTATTACTACTACATAGATATAGGTACAAGTACGTATCCGAGGGACAGACACAAATCATACAGAGTTCAAGTATCTGAATATTTATCTTACATGACAAATGAAAAGAGAAAAAAAAACATGAATTGGAGAAAAAGAATATCATTTGATCTGGGAGTTGTAATTTAAATGCACATTTTTAATATATTTATCGGCTTGTTATGCCGAACTTTTCTTAATAAACAAAACGTCAAAGGACTTCAACGACATGTGCTGGTTGTGATGTCATGTTGGGAAAATAGGGAATTGTGGAATGCATGTCTGTTATATCATAACGATTACTAAATGAGATGTCTAACAGTATTGTATCATTATATACACAGCGGTCGAACAGACGGTGAACGAGCACATTTACGGGCGCGTGGCAGCGACCACCGTCACTATGGCCGACGCCTGCAACAGGGCCGAGCCGTACGAGGAGAGCACCTACGTCATGTTGGTCAAAGATGGTCAGTTTTAGACTCGTTGATTTTTGATCTGCTGTATTTTTTTTATCTGAATAGAATATTTACTTTTGATTCACTTTATACGCTTTCTATCACAGTTTTCCCAGCAAAGATAAACTAGGTACTGTCAATTAACAGTATTACTAAAACAGAAATCCTAAGATGTGTGAAGATAATGTTTTAGCACAATAAGTATTTGATGTCCTATTTACAGGAGCGGCGTACTCAAGTCTAGGCGAAGCTTCCTGTACTGGTCTGCTGGCCAACTACGGAAGTATAACAGTACAGGACTACACCGGTGCAACTTCCTGTTCCGGTTCATCAGTGAATGGGTGCTCGGACAGGACCCAGCTTCAGTTCACATACGCCTCCTGTGCAACCAGCATGGTATTCTCTAGTAAGTCCTATCTTTATGCTGTCTCTGAAGTATTTCTTATCGAGGACAAAAAACGTTACATTTATCAATCACCCCAGCTGATTTATTATGTTTGAAATGTTGCAGAACGGTATCTTTTTATGATATGTACGGTAAAATGTATCTATTTATAATCTGGCCCAAAAGTTTTCTTTAGAGTTGGTAGGCCCTAAATTTATTAATGGGCAGTAAAATATATAAAAAAAGGAAAAAGGAAAGAAATGATATAATTATCATTTATTAAACAATGGAAATTAAAATATATGTTTAAATATATATATTGTGTGGTTATTTGATTGAATTAAAAAGTAGTGATGATTTTCTTTCGCAGGTGGAGGCCTATTTATGTGTATGAGAGCCACTACTTACGGGGACTATATCTATCTGGCCCTGTGGAACAACGACACAACCGTCGACGATTCCTCTACCTACAGATTTACGTGTATGGTAAGAGTTCACTGTTAAATCACCTAATGTCCTGTATTGTCTTGACTTTTCTCTTTATGCTGGTCGTAGATGGAATGGCACTATATTTTTAATGTAGTGATATTTCAGTGTACGTCCTTTTTTTGTGGTTCATATTTCCGATTTCAATTGATAAACGATGAATTAGCAACATATGCGTTATAAATTCATTAGTAAACATTGTGGTATATATTAGTGTGTACCGGAAGTGTAATACCGAAATAAAATATCTGTAACATTCACACCCATATTTTTATAAGTATTTATGTTAAGGTGCGACCTTATCCCTGACCAGCATCATTATGTTTTAGAAAACGATTCTTATCTTATCTGGTTGTTCAAAATGTTTGATCCTATGCCGATTCCTTTTAAGGTCAAAATCGTTGTAACATATTTCACCAGTTTAAACTATCTGAAGTATTGTAAAAAAGTTTCCACGCTTTTATAATGTATCTATTAGGTAGAAAACAGAAACAAATACGAATGTCGCTTGTTTTATGCTAACAGCGAGCTGTCTTTATCAGTGTAAAGTTCTGTGCTTAATGCCTTCCTTAATATATCATATATCATAAAGCTTATTTTTGAAACGTATTACCAATACGGATGTCTTCGCGTCAATGAATAAACACCTATGCGTGCAGTGTGGAATAAACTACTGAGATTTTTTTCACTGATATATTACTTGATAAGGAACGGCTAATGACGTGAAATTAACAATACTTATTTTGTTACGAAAATAGGACTGTTTCTGATAATCAAACGGCAAAGTAAAATTAAAACTTAGCGAGTAACACATGGGGGGTAAAGTGTTGTTTCGTTACTTAGCGAGTAACACATGGGGATAAAAGTGTTGTTCCGTCACTTAACGAGTAACGCATGGGATAAAGTGTTGTTCCACTACTTAGCGAGTAACACATGGGGATAAAGTGTTGTTCCATTACTTAGTGAGTAACACATGGGGGTAAAGTGTTGTTCCATTACTTAGCGAGTAACACATTGGGATAAAAGTGTTGTTCCATTACTTAGCGAGTAACACATGGGGGTAAAGTGTTGTTCCGTCACTTAGCGAGTAACACATGGGGGTTCAATGTTGTTCCGTTACTTAGCGAGTAACACATGGGGGTAAAGTGTTGTTCCGTTACTTAACGAGTAACACATGGGGATTAAGTGTTGTTCCATAACTTAGCGAGTAACACATGGGGGTTCAATGTTGTTCCGTTACTTAGTGAGTAACACATGGGGGTAAAGTGTTGTTCCGTTACTTAGCGAGTAACACATGGGGATAAAGTGTTGTTCCGTTACTTAGCGAGTAACACATGGGGATTAAGTGTTGTTCCATAACTTAGCGAGTAACACATGGGGGTAAAGTGTTGTTCCGTTACTAAGCGAGTAACACATGGGGATAAAGTTTTGTTCCGTTACTTAGCGAGTAACACATTGGGGTAAAGTGTTGTTCCGTTACTTAGCGAGTAACACATGGGGGTAAAGTGTTGTTCCGTTACTTAGCGAGTAACACATGGGGAAAAAGTGTTGTTCCGTTACTTAGCGAGTAACACATGGAGTAAATTGTTGTTCTTTTACTTAGCGAGTAACACATGGGGGTAAAGTGTTGTTCCGTTCCCACTTCTGAGTTGACATGGATTTTTTTTAATTATTTATTTCAAAGGCAATATCACTTGACGGAAGCAATGCATACGTGACGGAGTACCCAAGATATTGCAAGGATACATCACAGACCTCCGTAGCCGTCCCCACCCCCGGGCTAATCATGCAGTTTAGCGGCCAGACAGGTGAGGGATGACGTTATTGTGGCGTGATACATTATCGATATCAGTAATTATATTTTGATGTGAATATTATACTCAGTTTGTTAAGATGAATCGTCGATGAAAATAATATTTTTTTAAGTATATGTAAGTCGGTGTTTAGCGAAAATAAAGGATTATGGAAATAATTTGTATTAAGTTAAGTGAACAATTAGAACACTGCAAATGCCATGTAGAGAAAAATGAACGATTGAAAAAAATAATAAAAGAAAAGAAAGAAAACGTATAGTGAACGTAAATAAAGTATAAACATGTATTAAATCTCGCATTTTTCATGATCGGTAAAGAAATGAGTTTTCTATAACATATACCTTAAATAATGTAATCCGTTATTAAAAGTTTTTTTGTTTTATTTACAGAAACGTGTGGTGAGTATACGTACTTACGGTGTTCCTATCTGCCTTCTATTATACTGAACAGTCATTATTGACTGGGATAGTTACATGTGTAATCAATATAACTGATAACTATTGGCTAGTAGTTGCATTTATTACATACTTACTAATTAATACAGGTTTTTTGTATATGCGATACGACACAATTGCTCTAACCCATATCAGCCCTCGCCGTATCATACCCCAAAACCCGTATCAGCCCCCGCCATATCACACCCTAAAACCCGTATCAGTCCGCAAAATCCGTATCACACCACTTTGGAAATTTTTTGTTTTTCAATATTTCAAAAGAAAAATAGATCATAAGATAGTAGTTTGTATTAGTCAGTATGTAAGAAATAGAATAAAACACGCCTTTTTCCATATCACACCCAGTATCAACCCCGACAAATATCAGCCCTCGGGCTGATATTGCAGTCTCGGGTTCATACTGGGTGTGATATGGAAAAAGGCATGTATTATTCTCTATATATTATATGTGATACAACACATTTTGAAATGACATTTCTATACAACCTATATCAGATTTCTTTGAATCGATCAATAGATTTCCATTTCTAACAGATACACCTTGTAAAATATTATAAAAATAATCGGTATTTTGTGTTTTATTGATCGGAATTGCGTAAAACAATAGGCAACAAAACAAAATAATTGTGATATACACTTAGGAAAGTGATGTATAACCATGGAGAGCCACGCAAAATCTGCAACCAAAAGGCCAACCTTCTAGATGGACTCTATACACGATTGGAATCAATCACTCTTGGTGTATGGGAGTCGAATTTTACCCACGAAAATTTAACCAGGAACACATTAAAGATAACTTATTTTTTCAATAAAAAATGGAAATTTTATTATAAATTGTATAAAAATAAATTTCAAAATCTGAACACATTAAAGATTTTTTTTTTTTTCAATAAAAATGGAAGTTTTATTGTGAATTGTATAATACGAAAATTTCAAAATCTAATTCAGAAGTCAGATATATGGAAATAGTGACATATGTTTATTGTTTTTCTGTTTGGTTGTCCCCCCTGTTTCTATTGTTGAGTTGTCGCGTCGGCATCGAATTATGTTAATGTTTCTATGTGTATATATGTCTCCACAGAAATTATCGTGGATGGTGCTACCTACCTGATGTTCATCGTCATCATGGTTACACTAGGACCGCTCGTCATCCTCGGGTTGGTGGTGCTTGCATGCTTATGTCACAAGAATGGTTGTCCTTGTTCAAAGAAAAGTACTTGGTGTAACAAAAACGTTGATGATAGCAGTAGACCAACGACCACGTACTCACAGAGATCAGACTCAGTCAATAACACTGTGTTCAAGATGACCGGTTTACCGCCATTGTGGATCAAACACAAACGTCCGTTCGGGCCGATCGTCGAGGCTAACATGATCAAGCCCCTCCCAAAAGTTGAGTCTTTGTACAGTAACACCAAGGGAGAAAGACTCATGTCCTCCAAGTCCAGGAAAGGATCACTTGGCAGTTTATTCAGTTTCAACTATAAAAATTAGTTTGAAAAAATATTTATTGTATATATTGCTATTAAGAAAGCATTGTATTTTTGCGTGGTTCATATGCGTAACAACATGTATAGTGATATTTTTTGTTGGACTTCGAGATCATCTGTGGGGATCTGTGCGTGGCATGCCCCTGCGTAAAACTGCAGTAAAATTGGGATGATGAAACATCATTGCCTCTTATATACCGCATGGAATAGTACTCTAACAAATACTAATAACATTGTACGTCCAGGGCCTTATTATTTAAAATCACACCTTTTTGATGATGTGTGTTTATGCTCTGCAACGAATGCTGACAGTTTTTTTCTATAATCGTCATGCATAGTATTATAATTACTAAACCTGCTGGAAAGATTAACATGAAAAGCGTGTCATCATCATCTAAGTTATAAACACTAAGGGACATAACTCGAAAAACTTTAAAAAGAAAAAAGAAAACAATGGGACGTAGGAAAACAAAAACAGTATCCCTAACTTAGACATATATAACGTCATTATCATAATCATCCGCGTCCACGATATTTGTCTTTCTCGATTCTTTACACTTCTTACGATAGTAAAGTGTGTGTATCAGCTCACTGTAACACGTTACAACAGTCAGCCATGGTAAGTCTGATGCGTGTTTAATGGTAACCAGGGTATGATAAACACACGTAGTTCAGCGTGTAGATGTATGGCGGATTGTCTTTTGTTCGAGTTAAGAAGTATGCAGTAAGGCAGATATTGCATATTTCTTGTTATTACTCGGTGCCTATTATACCCTCGCTATCGCACTGACGTAATAAATCCCTTATTACTATAAAACCATACAATAACCGTATCATACCATTCATTGATTCATATATCATGCTACCGCCGTTTATACCTGCACTACTGCTGGAGGGAGCTTTACGTGACAGTCTCACACGCCCTTTGTACTATATATTCTGTCCCTTGTCATACATGTTACCGTTGAGTTGATATTAGTGTCATTCGATTCCTAGCCTCAGTCTCATTACCGTTACGTTACTTAAAGAAATTCGTTACCTGGCGTTTTCCAAAGCAAAGTTTGATTAATTTTATGGCAAAAGGAACTTTTCTTTTAACTAATTAATAAAGTTATGACTATTTTCTGGAACGTTCGTGACACTGGGCCTGATCATCAAACATTTAAAGTTAAGCTTAATTTTTCATTACATATTTTTCTTTTTATTTAGGCAGATTACTTTGACAGAATGTTTGAAACATACAGGCTACGATGAGTTTAATCCTAAATCTTGTAAATAGGAAGCTGATGGAGTTGTAACATAAACAATTACCATTTAACCTCTGCCTGTTTATCTCTTGTGTAACCTCTTGACATTATTTTCTGTAAGGCGTATTGACTAATTTAGCTCCACATTGTTTGTCATGTCATAGTATATAAACATTGTTATTGTGACTGTAGTATACACAATTGTATGAGCTTCTCAAGGTTACCTTTGGCAAGGTCATTTAATATAAGATATTTGTTACTTGTGATTGTATATTTCAATACAGTATTGATATAACAAGTTTAACGTATTAAGTTTTATTGTAATAAATGTGTTACTGTTCTGTTACCTTGATCAACAATTATAACATTAAATCTGCACTGGAAAAAAATACTGTGTTCGAGTAATTTATTGTTATGAACATACTGCACGTAGCCAAGTCATTACATTTTCTGTACGTGTTCAAATTAATAAATATACTGTACGTGTCCAAGTTATTGAATATACTGTACGTGTCCAAGTTATTTAATTTACTGCATGTGTCCAAGTTATTGAATATACTGTACGTGTCCAAGTTATTAAATATACTGTACGTGTCCAAGTTATTGAATAAACTGCATGTGTCCAAGTTATTGAATATACTGCATGTGTCCAAGTTATTGAATATCCTGTACGTGTCCAAGTTATTGAATATACTGTTCGTGTCCAAGTTATTTAATTTACTGCATGTGTCCAAGTTATTGAATATCCTGTACGTGTCCAAGTTATTGAATATACTGTACGTATCCAAGTTATTGAATTTACTGTACGTGTCCAAGTTATTGAATGTACTGTACGTGTCCAAGTTATTGAATATACTGCATGTGTCCAAGTTATTGAATATACTGCATGTGTCCAAGTTATTGAATATCCTGTACGTGTCCAAGTTATTGAATATACTGTTCGTGTCCAAGTTATTTAATTTACTGCATGTGTCCAAGTTATTGAATATACTGTACGTGTACAAGTTATTGAATATACTGTACGTGTCCAAGTTATCAAATATACTGTACGTGTACAAGTTATTGAATTTACTGTACGTGTCCAAGTTATCAAATATACTGTACGTGTACAAGTTATTGAATTTACTGTACGTGTCCAAGTTATTGAATATACTGTACGTGTTCAAGTTATTGAATATACTGCACGTGTCCAAGTTATTGAATATACTGTACGTGTCCAAGTTATTGAATATACTGTACGTGTCCAAGTTATTGAATATACTGTACGTGTCAAAGTTATTAAATATACTTTGTACGTGTCCAAGTTATTTAATTTACTGCATGTGTCTAAGTCATTGAATTTACTGCACGTACATGTAGCCAAGTCACTAAATTTGCTTTACGTGTCCAAGTCATTAAATATACTGTACGTGTCCAAGTCATTAAATATACTGTACGTGTCCAAGGTATTAAATATACTGTACGTGTCCAAGTCATTAAATATACTGTACGTGTCCAAGGTATTAAATATACTGTGCGTGTCCAAGATATTAAATATACTGTACGTGTCCAAGTCATTACATTTACTGCACGTGTCCAAGTCATTACATTTACTGCACGTGTCCAATCCAAGTTGTATGATATATTGTACGTTTCTAAGTCATTGAATATACTGCACGTTTCCGAGTTATTAAATTTACTGCATGTGTCCAAGTTATAAAATATAATGCACCTGTCAAAATTATTAATGATCTTTTACTAGTCCAAGTAATTGATTTTAATGTATGTGTCCAAGTTATTTGTTTTACTGTACATTATCCAAGTTGTTAATTTATCTGTATCCAATTATTTATTATGATCGGTGTCCCGCATTTTCGTCAACGGAATCAGGAGAAACTAATGTTAAAAAATACTTTTATGCACAAGATTGCTCCAGTAATATAAACGGTAATATAGCGTGTATACAGAGTGTAGTATGTCCTACCTCCCTAGTGAGTCAAAATGTACTTTTACTTCCATACATTTGGAAATATATCAGCAACATCTAATCCATCATAGCGACCCCAAAGGTCAAGATAAAAGTTAACATTCCAGAGCACTCCTTGGTCGTGGTAATGTTTTATTGACAAAATCATAATTAATTGCTAATAAAGCTGACATATCAACCTTTGATCTGCACGGTGATTTAAATACTTAAAAGAAAAATACAGAAACTAGGAAAAATAATGAAATCGTGTCGATAATACCGGCGATAATAAAAACAAAACAAAAATCAAGAGCATACCAAGTGCCAACATCAACGTAATTAGAATCAAAATTCGATAGCACTAGGGCACAATATGAACAAATGGAATGTTTACCTGAAGGCCCTTTGGAAAAGTACGAGGAGATTGAGTTATTACAAGCCGTAAATGTCCCCTAAGTGTTCAGCAAATTCGTTTTTATGACACACCGCTCACTTTATACAGTTTCTCCGAACGAAATGTCAGTTATGGTCCGTTGATTTCATATTTTGGTTTTGATGAATTGAAATTAAATTGACCATTGGCCGGATTACGGACTTATATAGTAATTCCGTGGCCGGACAGAGTGGCCGCATCATGTGACTTCCGTTAATTTTGGAAATGGACAGATATACTACTAGGTACTCATGCGCACGACTTATCTCATAGATCTCGACTAACTACTCCAAAACGTAGTAATAACTATCTAAATAACAAAGATTTGTGAATTTCATTTATGTCCGCCATGATGTTTTAAGGTGATTTTGATATAATGACCTCTTGTCAAAAATCGTTTATGTGTCGGAGTTCGAAATAAAGCCAAATCGATTGCTAAATTGCTAAAAAACATAAAATAATTGTAAAATACACTAATGTAACGGTTCCTGACTTGGAGCATGTATATTTTATAGTTAAAGTGTCAGATTTGACATTTTTTATGCCGTTTTGGTTGTTTAAAAAAGGTGTCCAAGACACCCTGAGATGATTTTAAGGTGTTTTGACGCTTTTGTTTTGACGTCGACATCTTTGACGATTTCACTATATCACGTGGTCAACAACAATGGATACTAATCGCAGAGTCGAATACGGCGTACGCCCATTACGCCCTCACCTGGACCCGCCCCTGTATATACATATTTTTATATATCATATACATTATCATTATTTAAATGTAACCAATGAAGACAAACATACGGACATCTTTTCCCCAGAACAGTACTTTGAATCCTCCATACAATCTACACGTTACATGTATTAATAACATTTCCCTGATATATTACATGTAAGTGAATGATTGGGATAAATATTAAACATATAGACAAATAAAAGTTTGATATGCATGTCTGTGGTACATTTTGTAGTCGATAAGGACACGGACTTTTTAAACCCGCGTTCTCATATCCGCCAATACAGCCGTGATCGTATAGTGGTTAGTACTTCGCGTTGTGGCCGCGACAACCCAGGTTCGAATCCTGGTCACGGCAGACGGCTGTGTCAGTCGCTGTTACGGCACGGCGGATTATTTTTATAATATTTGGTGGTTCATTTTTATCCTTTGAATGAGTAGTGCTAAAATCACCATATTTATTATTATTCATAATTGCGTATAAGGTTAAGTTAACAATACTTGTGACGGGTTGTGTATATATATATATATATATAACATGAAGATAAGAAAAGTGAAGAAATGACGTCACGGCAACTTGGCCGAAAGCTCGGACAAAGTTATTTTTGTGACATAAGTACACACTTTGTCTTACCCAGGTGATCTTAAGATATGAAAAAGATATCTTGGTAAAAATGTCAGGCGCGTAACAACCTATGTAGCAAAAAAGCCCGGGCTTACACATCATTTTTGACAAAATAAAAATAAAATAAACGCAACATAGACTATATGATATAAAATATTAAAAAGCAATGACAGATGTTTTGTATCTGCTATAAAGACCGCCAACTAAAATGCTTCGTTGCAATCAAAGTCTCTAACAAATGTAGCACTGAGGGTAGCATATTCGTTCGGCATGGTAACCAGTATATCGGTTCTTATGTACATAACGTTAAACTATTCCTAGTGCTAGCTTGTGATACAAGTCTCATATCTCTGCGCAACCGGAGTCACAGTCGCGAGGAGAAACGTCACACTCTTACAACAAGTATCCCAAAATCCACATAATTTTAGATTTTTCTTTTCCGTGGAATAATGTTACCGAACACCATAATAGAACTGGCGTAGATGAGTACCAATCCCTTCGTACCCAAAAAGAAGCAAAATATTTGTAAAATAATAGGGGAAAATGATATTTTCTTGCTTTAAAATGGCCATTAAAACTGACGCCAGAACAAGGGAGAACGCGTCTCATGTGTTCTAGAAAACAAAATTCTCCTGGGGGAGACCCCCAAGACCCCCCACCAATGGGAGGCGGAAAACCCCCTCCAATACCCTTCCCCTCCTCGCGCTACGCGCTTCGGGGTGCTGCCTTCGGCAGCACACTTCATCGTTGGGCTTACACATTGAAAACCCGTTTGTTACGCCCCTGGGTATTTTTCTTAGTGTTTAGTAGTCTTACTAAGTCTGAAATTATGATGTTTAATACTGAGTGAAAATATACAGTTTTTCGTTAATTTCATACAATAAAGTGTCCATAACTTATCTTACTGTGAGATTTTAGAATTCAAAGTGAACACCATTTCGTTTGATATCTTGTTAACTAGACCGAATTACTTTGACACGATAATACCGTCTGTGACATATCGCACCTGTTCTGACATAGGTTAGGTTCAAAGGGAGATATCATACATTCAACCCATTACTAGTAAATTGTGCATTCCAAATAATAAAAATAATATCCTGATATGTATTGTCACCATTATACCTTTACTCAAAACCTCGTTATGGGTCAATCTATAACATTTTGCGAAGTCTAAAACAATCCACGCTGTTCTATAATCAGTTTGAGATTTTATTGGTAACGCCTCGTTGTTTAACGTCAATGATCCGTTACCGATCAATACTTAAAGCTCTGTGCCTTGTCGCTGTGTTAAGTATTTGTTTATAGAACAAGGTTAATATCCGCCAATACAGCCGTGATCGTATAGTGGTTAGTACTTCGCGTTGTGGCCGCGACAACCCAGGTTCGAATCCTGGTCACGGCAGACGGCTGTGTCAGTCGCTGTTACGGCACGGCGGATTACTTTTATTCTATTTATCAAACACTACTATTTTTTTTTAAAGTTTTTAATCGTATGCTATTTTTTGGATTATTAAAACGTAGTTCGGTTATAATTGTAGTCGTGGCCCTGTAAAATTAAATGTACATCAGCATTAAGTTAGCAAACTACTGTAAAGAGAACTTTTACGTGTTTGAGTTAAAAGATCAGAGTTGTATTTGTTGACTG